AATATACATATTTAATATAATATGATAACAATAAATAATAATGACCAGTTACTTATACTTAAGTGTGTTGTGTGTGAATTGCCATCATGATCACAAATCATAGTTAGTAATATTATCGTAAACATAGTTCAGACATATTAAGAAGTGCATATTATGTATTTCATTGAGTGGAACTTTGGAAGTGGAATTGTATTAAATTATTGTAGAACTAAATCACGCACCTCCTACTTAAATATGTTTACTATAAGTACCTACATGAAATTTTTTAAACTTGAAACACACATTGTAAGTACTTACCTTAACAGTAGGTACGACTTTTACGACTATGATCATCATAGTATAACTACAGCTGTAGTAGTGTAGCACAATACACAATTATTATAATTATGAACAACGAAACTAATCACTGTATTAATAGTAAATGCGTTAGGAAATTTCTAAAAAAAATAGTGAAAAATGTGAAGTTTGACCTTTGACGATTAATATTGGCCTTATCTACAAAACTGTTGGTCTGACTAGTTAATCTTCTACCTATTTGATGTCATATTTAATTGTATATTATTACATCAAAGGATAATAATATATTGGTAAATAATAATGTAAAATAAATATTTTAAGTTTATAAATTCCATCGTTTTTGTAATACCTATATATTATTATAGGTACTTGGTATTATTATTTTACATTGATATTAGTTGTCGGATCACAAAAAATAAATACATATGCCTAACATACTGAAATGTGTATTATCCGTTTGTAACATTGTTTTTTAATGTATTTTTTTTTTTTAATGTTGTCCCATATAGGTTGAAGTTTGTATTAAAGTTATTATTTCAAACAATTTTTTATTATTTCAATGGATACATATTATAATATGATTTTCCCCGATTTTTCTATTAGCAATTTGAATTAGATTAGTGGATTCACAATATTGGTTATTGAGAAAAGTTATTGTACCTGATGTAAATAAATACGAGTCAAATACAAATTCTACTTAATAATTGTTTGATGTTGTAAAATAGCACAATACTGACACACAAAGTACCCACCTACAGACTGTGTGTAATATATTATTAAATTTTGAGTAACCAATAATCGTATAAAAACAATTCGAAACCGGGTGAGTTAAATTCGTGGTATACGGGACGTGAAATTTGCTATGTTCAATTGCACCCACGTTTTGAAACAAGAATCTTCATTTGATAACTGTTTACTCTCTAGGTACCTGCAAGTGCACTACACGGTATCCCATTATAGATTCCATTATTAAACATTTAGACGGTAAACAAAACGCGCACACTCACACGCCCATACCCACACAGGCACACCCACGTACATATTGTTGTATATGTAGACAGTCGTCACTATAATTACATATAATATAGGTGGGAACATTTTTATTATAAATTATTAACATAGGTCAGGCCAATGAAGCAAGATGTGCTGAGGCAGCAATAATTATTTTGCTATATAACACCACCGGACGCGCAGACACGGGAAGTCCCGTTCTCGCTGGTGTTTCAGCGAGAACGCGGGTACGACAGTCGTGGTATAGACTGAGTGTTTTTAAATAATTATTGAATTATTTATATTTGTTTTACATTTTTAATAAAAGTGTTTCCGACCCGAAAATTATTTGTTTTGTTTGAGTAGCCACGCAATTCTATGTACGCTTTAAATCCGATCTGAAACCGATTAATTTATGGTCGTTGACGATTTAAAGTATGAACGGTGAAGGTAGTCCTACGTTAATTGTATTCTTTCAATCTGATCTGAAACCGGTTAATTTATGGTCGTTGAAGATTGAAAGTCTAAAATGTAAGGTAGCGATATCGACGTCTAAGAGAGCCAAACTGTAACCGGTTAATTTATGGTCTTTTGGTTGCTCAAGCGTCGATAGAGGTATATCACTGGAAAGTGCATATACGACAATATTATAGTATAAGATCAGCCGAATGCTATTTTACTTTTACTTTAAATTGGAATGCTGTACGTACGAATGCGCGCATTCAGTTGACGAGTGAAAATTACTGTTTGCTGAAAAGAAAAAAGAAAATTTTAAAATCTCACGAAAGTAAACACTCGGTTTTTAATGGAATTGGATTTCATTTGTAGATCGTTCATACTTGTCCGTGATATAATTTAAATAATATTATGCTATCTGCATTTGAAAACATAAATCGTGAGCTCGTTTTCGCGAAATGTATTTTGAGATTGCTTGCACAGACATGAACGGTTTTGCTAAAATATAACAATATTATTATTCGTCGTCGTTTGGCATAATAATAAATAATAATAACGCCCTCAACCGTCTCGACAAGTAGGCTTGTTAAGTTTCACTCGAACATTACTGTAATATAATATATTGTATTTTATAGGCGTATGTGAACTCGAATGAATAATATTCAATCATCGCATAATATATCTGCTTAATATGCGTTTGTTGACGTATATTATATTATAGTATTGTGAGCATAATGATATCTGAAAGTGGGTTTTTTTGATCCTCTGTGTGAAACGTACATGTCTCAGTGTTATTACAACAATCATTGATATTATTTTCTACTTATTTTCGCCTCGTGTACAAATAAAAAAAATATTCCACTCGATACGAACGCAGCACGAACCTGATTTGATGATTATGATAATAATAGTATGGGAAAGTAATGGGAAAGAGGGAAGAGATAACGAGATTTATCATAATATCGTAACATGATAATAAAATTAACTCCCTGCGACACGGTTCAAAGCTTGTGTTTGTATATACAATATTATAATTCCGTGTACGTGTCACAAAAGTCCATAATTATTAGCAAAAGCAATCCTTTCCCTTTCGTCCGTCGTTCGTTTAATTCCAAATGGTATTTTTTTTTCATTTGCTGATTACATGATTATTATATTATTATAACCCAGATATGTAATTATTGTACAGGGTGCATGACTTCAGTATTTAAAGGACCTGGACTCGAGACCCAGATTGTAAATCTTATAAGATGGATTAGTTCAATAAACTATGAACATATTTCATGAACTACAGTATAGGAACGATGCCATTAGGAATTGAGGATACGTCCATATACTTTACACATCTTTATATTTAGCTTACCTACTAATTTTCACTAATTATATGATATTCATATTCCATGTCAACTTTGTTGATATAAATTTCTCCAAATATCAAGAAAAGATGAAGTATATATTATATCTAGGTCCAGACTGTAGGTAGTACGGTTGGACTATTTTTTTCTAAAAGATAGTAAAAGTATTAGTTACTGTAAGTTTTTTTCTACAACTTATATATAAGTATATAATATAATAGAACGGTGTGAATTTTTTCTCAGTATATGTGGCTTTTATAATAAATTAGCCAAATTAATTTGTGAATAGAAATAATATAATTTGTTTAAGAGAAAAGTTTCAAATCCATGTGATTAGTATTTTTTGAATTACAATATTATAACTGAAATCCTATAATTTTTCCTTTAAATGTTATTAAAGTTCCTCAAAATTAAAAGATCAATTATTGTCTATGAAAAAAAAACTGTTGCTCTAAGAGCTATTTGCTATTTGCTGTAAGAGCAACGTCTTGTCAGGAATATTTTATCAAATTGTATGTTAGCTTATTTTCAAGGGTCACCTACCCAGTATAACGACGCCTGGCTGCAGCCGATACGAGAAATCGACGTCATTTTAAAACACCATTATTAATAAAATTATATCTGAAAAAGAAAAAACAATAATAATTAGTTGTACTCAACGATTCAGCGTTCAAATCGTAAAAAAAAATCCATCTGCTGGTAAAAATTTTGAAAATTCAGGACACGTAGATGTGGACAACTGGGCGGTCGTACGCCATCTACATCGGCTATGGCAGTACTCTCAAAGAATCGTTTATCAGTTCTAAAATTAATTATAATATTCACTATAGTATTTATTATGATTGATTTTTTCGTAATATTTGTATCAAGAATAATATTATGACGGTTTCATACGATGGCAACAACTACGTCTAAAACACGCCGCAACATGCGTTTATATCTATTTCAAAACGTCACGTGTTCATTTTATTCTTTATATTTTTTGTTTATAAAACCTTTATTCGAACATGATCATCCATGTAGTGAAATGTGACCGTGTCAACAGAAAACTTTGCGCACTATATTCCGAGCACGTCCATCTTTGGTAGAATGGTGATGTAATTTTATTCACAGATAGTTTTCTGTCCGGCACACATGTGGTGTTACAATAAGTTTATTTGAAGGAAACGAAGAAACGGGATCATCAGTGCGCGCCGAGGAAGTCAGTCCTAAAAATGACACATGCTTTTTTTTTTTTATTATTATCGTGTATTCATAAATCGGACGAGGATATCCTGATATGTTTCAATTTATTCAGTACGTCGTAAATCCAATGTACGATCCTGAGGGTCATCGTAGAAATCGCTTTCCTATCGGTTTCGAATGTATTCACGCCATAGCATAGTGGCCAATGACCAATCAGGTTTATCGACAAAAAATACTTTATTATAGTAGAAGGTCCTGATTTTATGTGACTAATTTTTGTTTTTTTACAAAAATCACAAAAAACAAAATAAAAATAGTTTATTTTTAATCTTTAAAGAAAAATTTCACAAATTTTGAAAACGATATTTGAATTGAGGCGCGTATCAAAGTATTTTTTATCATATTATACAACGTGTTAAACTATAAATATGTCGGTTGAACATAAAATAGTATCTTCTATATTATATTATTTTTACATTTTTGTTTTGTCTGTGTTTATTTCTTTTTAAGTATAAGGAATAAGTGTACTCCAAAATGTTCATGTGAAGTTATTTGATTGAAAATCTATTGTACTAAAATTCAGTTTTTATTTATTAATTTATATTTGCAAATAAAAACGTTTACCATATAATATTTGGTTCACTTCTCATATTATGCTCTAACATTATCTATATTACCTTGGTTACTTCTTATGAGTCCTTTTTGACGCCGTTCTCGATGTTTTTGTATGTTGCAGGTGGCGTAACACTCACCGAACTTCGAGTGCCGACTTCCGTGATGGCCAGCATAAAAAATGGAGTCGTGCTTGATTGCTTGTATACACTACGTCCGAATTCCATTGGGTTAGTGGTCGCCTGGTATTTCAACAACAGCGCCAGACCGGTTTATCAGTGGATTCCTGGACAGAAACCTTTGAGCATCGGCGTGTTCCGTCACCGTGCCAATCTCGACTACAAGGTGTCTGACGACAACGATACCATGCACAGGTAATATGATAATAATATACTATTCAAATTTCGAATATTAGATGGACGATAATACTCGAAATTTATTATTTTTATCTTTACTTGCCAGTAAATCCAATCACAATTGTTATTAACATAGATACCACCTTGGATTCAGCCACCTCCTTAAAATTTATTTTATTAGATATTTTAAAGAACATGACGGTCTACAAATTATTTGCTAAACAAATTTAAATTATTAATCACAATAACACTAATGGAAAACCTCGTACGGTTTTAAGTCTTTCGACCACAATATCAAATTTGACACAATCTGCACCAAATCTATATATTTATATATTGTGGATTTTAAATGATTTTAGGAACAATTAATGAGGAACATAGGTTTTTAATTTCAATCCTTTACAGTTCATACCTAAAATAAAACATGTTGACAAATTAAAAAAAAAACTTAACAAATTAGAAAATTGCATGTGCCCATACTAATAATTAGCATAATATATAATTAGTTTGAATATTTTTAAAATATAGCTACTTATGTTAATAATATTATATAACCAACAGTGGAATATTTCAAGTTCCTATGATTAATAATTTTTTAATTACAACAAGAAACTAAATTCATTTGGGGAAAATCATATATTTTAGTATGAACTGAAATTTTTACTAAATTCTGTGAAAAGTACTAATGGCATGTTATAAAATATGAATATTATATTACATTTTGAAGCATTCGATTTTAGAATGAAAATGTTATGCACGTTTACTAACAAAATAATTTTTTGGTCTACTCAGAATTACATAAATTAATAAACATCCAATAATATTAAAATTCCGACTATCGTAAACAAATTAAATAACTAATTTAATATTGCCAATTCTCTTCATTAATTACATAATTATAATATTCATTACCTGGTACCTATTTACAAAGGTTATAATACTATTTATACCTATATATAATTATATAACACTGAACATTTACAAATATTAATAAAAAAAAATGTTGACACTTATAATATTATTCAAGAAAATATATACTATTGTGTATTACACGGTGAATATTACCTTATCGTTTATATATATATTTATGTTTTGGGTAATCCCCGATATCGGTTAAATTCGACATTACTCGGGTAAGATAACCTTATCCGATTTCATACATTATCCATTGGAAAGTAAATGTTAGTAATGGCCGTTGGGAAATATTTCCAATACCTACCCGGATAACTAACCTAACCACAAGTTCTAGAGTAAAGTAGAATGTAAAAATAAATTATTTATTATATTATGAGAGAGAACAAAATAAGCAATTTAAAAATATAATCATATTTAATACCATGTTTGTTTCAAATCGAAACGACTAGAAAATAAATAACTGTGTACAGTCAAAATCATTCCTAAAAAATGTATACAATATACACAAGTTGAATACAATTATTATAACAATATATCAAAGCAATACGTTTTAAAATTGATGAAAAAAATAACTATTCAATACTAAGCCAGTATCAACAAAGCCGATCATCGTTTTGTTTGCAGATACAAAGAATGGCGTATATTTGAGAATTTCGTCTTTTACTGTCTGTCATTATACCATCTTATATGATACAAATTTTAAGTTCCATACAATTTATTTCGCAACTTTTCAAGTGAAAAAAAATAATGAAACAATATCGTATGAATGTTATTTTATAAATACATTTAGTAGTTAAAATCATTGCACGGATATAAATTAAAATTCTGACAAAGTAAAAAAATTAAAATATTAATTTCATGATTCCCCAAGGTCCGGTGCTGCTAATCTTGAATTACCCGGATAATTTGAAAAAAAAAAAATAATCAAATAATTTTGTCTCATACTCTACAACAGTACCTATACCCAGGCTGATTGGGTACACTCGATCTTATAGCCGACTACCCGAGTAATGTCGACTTAATCCACAAATCGGGGATTACTCTTAACGTTATTATATATTATATTGATTAAACGATTTAAATAATTCATTACTGTTGTACGATCTGGCAGCCGCTCCGCATTAACCGTAAAAAGTTGTCAATACGTAGATTCTTTAATTGACATAATATTTCGTGAGCAACTGTGGTAACTGGTAATAGGTATATAACAAGTGTACACTAACTAATCAATAAGTGCTTATACTATTCCTATATTTTATCATCTTACACAGGGCCTTGCACATAATCAATCCGACCATCGAGCTGTCCGGCGACTACAGGTGCGTCGTGTCTACGTACCATGATGAAGATTTCATGATCAAAAGGATGATCGTCTACTGTGAGTACCTGCATAGCTTTGTAGTCAACATACTAAATGCAATATTATAATATTATGCTTTTATTCATTTATTAGTGATAATTGTATCCACGATTCGATATTATTACAACCGCCCATGTATTATTTTGGGTGATTGTATAATGTATTAAAACATATAAAGACACGATGCTGTCGAACGAGCTTAAAGTAAAAATATAGTCTTGCAAAATATTTCCAGAAATTATTCGAAAACGATAATTTATATTTTAACTGTGGGAGCGTAAAAGAAAAGTGGTCACCACGTTCAACTCATTTCAGTGTTACATTATAAATATGCTTTATTATAAATTATAATACACCTGCGTAACACGCAATAAAATATTTCATTCTTTAATACCATAATTTTCTATTGTCGAACAACATAATACTGAATTAATTTTATAGAGAAAAGTGTTCGTTCGTATTGGAAAAATTACATGTTATGAGGTACCAAAACATGCTTGCGATTAGCGATCTTAAATGTTCCTGTTGTTAATGAAGTGGGTGAATTGGTTTAATATGTTATATTGTACTGCTAGGCAAAATAATGTAACGTTAGAAAGTACCTATTTTACTTATTTAAAGAACAACACTATAATATACTTTCATACATTGACCGAATAAAACATTATTCTTACATTTTTAATTTAAAAGTGTCCATAACAAAACCTAAAATACAAGCGGTGAAATGTACATTATTTTATATACGTGGGTAAGTACTGAACTTACTGTACCTACTATGACTATTTCGTTTGATTGAAGTTCCATACTATTGACGCATAATCGTTCAAAAGAAACACGCGTACATTGACAGCAGACACACAATTATAATTATTAATTCCAAAAGTCCTATTCACATGTGTTATTGTTACTGCTCGCATGCAGTTGTTGTAGGTACTAATTATAATAATATATTAACTAAGATAGATATTATATTATTATATTTCAAATGTAATTAAAAATAAAATAATAGGTAGGTACCTAAAATTTAAGTATACGTGTCAATAATTCTTGTCATAAATAATACATTTTTTGAATTTATAACTAATAATTAATTCGATAATAGTAATATATTATTTTTTATTATTATTTTTTAAGTTAACTTAGTTATACAAAAATAAATGTTGCTATATTTTTCATAATAATAATATTATGTGTAAAGTGTTTAAAGGCTAATTTTATTTAAATTTTTTTTTTTTTAAATCTGCAATATGAAAATTTAATTTGTAATTGGATTTATTTTTCTATTTTGTTGAAGCATATTTATAATGATGAATTTTGTACTAAATATTATGTAATATATTTTTTGTTTATGGCTGTAATGATAATGAGTTGCAGTAGGTACGCTTAGAATTCACTAACTAAGTTTGGGGTTCAACATCAAAAATTGGAATAGGTACTGTTCCCTATAATGAGAATTCGATATTGTTTCAATAGTTATTGTTCTGTATAAGAAAATTTAAAACAATAGCAAATATTACACCATTATTTTATAGGTCTTCTTAAAAATAAAATTAATTAAATATTGTATTCGTTTTTTTGAATATCATCAATGATTTTTGATATTATATTTCATAATTAAACTCATAATTGGTTTTGTAATGGAAAAAAAAAATACTTCCTTTCATCGGTCGTTATAAAAAAAAAAATTTTAGTAATTACGGGTTTACTGTTGGTAGGTACACTATTAGATTTTTGTGAAATTTTAATACCCGAATAGACCTGTATAATAGGACTATTGTGAAGTTCAATAGGAAGCGTTATAAATCACCATAGGCCATTTAAATATTTGTGCCTGTGGTTCGTGTTTCCGGAATTCGATATAGGAAACCGAAAGGGAGTTAATGGAACTCGACGCGTTAAAATTAAAATAAGCGTGTAAAAAAAAAAATCAATAATTACAGTAAGTCTTACAGTAGGTATATATTTTATTATTATAGTGTAATGTGATAATTAATTCGAATGTGTATGGAGTGTCATATTATATCGTTGAACTTCCCACTAACTGCCAATGGTAGACAATAATATTATAGGTAACATTATAAAGGTATAATAAAGGTGAAATTCAAGGGTACCAACATTGAATGCATCCCTCTACTTTAGTAGTCGCAATGGAGCCGTAATCATGTACCTACCACTAGTGTAATAAAAAACTTATTCTACTGCGTTGATATTATTTAAATTATTTCCTGAACCATATCGGTGATACTGTTTTCTCTCTCCGTAGTGGTCTGTCACCATAACTATACAATAATATGATGTACATTGCAAATAGTCCTAAATAAATCAAATAGTCCTATCATAATTTTCGAATGCCATAAGTAGCAATACTTTTATAGTTAAGACCTCGGTGACAAAGTCTCCAATTACACCTCAATCTATTTTAAAAATAAGTACCTACATACTATGGAGAGGATAAAATAAATCAAACAAAAGTTAAAGTTGGATTACCTAGTCGAAAAGTCTGCCAACAAATTCAGTAAATATGAAAACAGTCCAACCACAAGTCGACAATCGACAAAACATCTATCTAGGGATAACTTTACACAAAACACTAACTTCGGCACAGTAGATAGATACAAAACAAAAATATTAATTTATCCACTTAAGTCCACACCCACTACATTCATTATCAAAACCAAAAAATAAACTTTAATAACAAATTTACAAAAGAATAATAAGAATAGTTTGGACTTGTGGAATTAAATTATTGGGTAAACCGTAAGCTAATACATCGAACATTCGCACACTTAAAGCATTTCAATCCATCTGCACCCATCCAACTGCAACGCCTTATGCATCTCCACACAAATTAATTTGAAAATTCAAACTATTCACAACTTCACTATACTGATGGTTGTATGCCAATCAGTTAGATATTAATAGAAATCGACTTATTTCATAATAATAATTTAAACCGTCGTCCAAAACTATATTTTAACATTAAAAAAATAACAATATTCAACAACGATAATATTATATTATATTAATGTATAGTTTCTCAGCATGACGTGAAATATAAAACATATCATAACATAAGAATATACCATACAGTTTTCTTACCTATTGTAAACTATTCGTGATTAATTCCTTTTAAATTAAATTAATAGGTACAAATAAAAAATACTGGTATATTAAGGGACATTTATACTTAGTAAGCTATTTTTTCATATTTGGGTCAATATTACTATTCAATGTGGACTTCTTTTTGCTATAATAATAACGGAATCAATATTCAGTTATTTCGAATTGACGTTTTGGACCATTTATAGGTAACTGCGTATTTTTTCCACTGAAATGAATAGATAACAATCACCTTCAGTCCATAGGTATACTGCATGTGGCCATAACATAACTCCTGGAAAAAAACAAATCCGTTTCGACTGAAATTGAAGCTACCTACCTTTTTTTTTTGTTTTGTTTTGGTGCGTCAGTAGTATAATAGGAGCCAGTAGTATAGTTGTAGTGCCATTGAGGTGTCGTTTATTTTCTTCCCTATTGTGACACGAATTTAATATTATCACTCCCCATGGAAAAATCCTTTGTACGCCATTGGACTTTGCGCCACTATTTTTCAATGACCGTTTTCTTCTCGCGCACATCAAATAATGAAACTGGATTGGTGCGAAATCGATCCTTGAAAACATTATACTGTTATAACTTATAAATATTATAAACGGACTACGACTTTTCACCGTGATGCCACATGAGAATCGTGTGGGCACAGGAATATAGACTGAGGCCCTCATCGATTTATTTAAGAAATTATTAATGGACAAAGAAGTAAAAATGTACTATACTATGCGTGCACACAATTCTTAAATTAATTTCAAACTTTACGTTACAAATGGTTTTTAAAATTTATTGTAAACTATTGTTATTAATTAGGTTGTTTTTAATCTAATTTGAAAACTTTATAATATTTATTATTATTATAATCTATGTTTTATACACATAATACTATTTTTTTTAAACTTTTTAAAAGCATCAAAAGTTGAAAAAAAACTTGTTTTCCGTTCGTCTATCTCATAATTTACCGTCGACAGCATAAAATAATATATTCACAACACTCCACTGTTGGTATTCATTTCAATGTTTTAAAAGCAGAAATTAATTATATTTTTATTGTAAGTCTTTGACATATATTATAAGTTATTTATTTAGAGAAAATAAGAATTGTAAATGTGAGTAAAGAAAAGGACGGTTTTGTTTGCCATTATTTTAAAACAAAAATATTATTATTTTTCATTATGCTTGAAAGATTTTCGAGGAATAATTTACTAATAACTTTGTTTTTTTTTATTATCGGTAAATTCTAAGGAGTTATTTAGTTTTAGTAATAGAGAAGCTGAATCTCTTCTTTTGATTTGGTTTTTTAATAGTTTCCATAAAGATCGGTAGATGGGTGTGAGTTATAATAACGAGTGAAATTGATTGGATTAAAATGTTTGAATTTATTTTTTTTAAGTTTGTTGGTTGATTTGTTACCACAAAAAATGATACCACATTTTTTAAGTTTGGATCTTTTTGTTAATAATTTTTTTTTTTTATTAATTAAGTGTAATCATATGGTTTTATATTAATTGTATTGCTTTATCAATGTATTGCAGCAAATATGAACAGTTCTTGCTTCAAATCTTGCTTCAATTGCTACTTACATGATTATTTATTAGAAATTGAAAAGCGTTTTGTATGTTTTCTTGGTATTTTAATCGAACTTTAAATAAAATTCTAACTCATAATATTTATTAAAAGAGTGTAAATGATCATTGCATAATACTTTTTTTTTGAGGGATGTGTCCACTTTTAGTAATGGTGGTTTTTAGGTTGTCACCGTTGTAGTATACTCTAGAGTTGCTATAGTTTTGAAATTTTAGTTTTTTTTTTTCCAGTTTTTGATTTAAAGTGTATCAATTTTTAATTTGGTATAGTATAAAAATATTAAGGCTCCAATATATCTCTGTTTCTTTGCGTTGGTTATAAATCGACATAAAATAGAGATATGGATATAGATCTGTGACGATCATTCTTA